GTCTTAAAGGCACGCTCCGCGATCAGGCGGGCTCGCCTGTTCCATCCAGGGGGTAGTAGGCAGGTGGACAAGTGTTGATGTCGGGCCCCTTTTGCGGCTTGAAAGTACGCGACAAAGGCGCAAGGAGCTCGTCCAACCCGCAACTCACACCTTCGTCCGCAAGCCCCACCCTTCGCTGTCGGTTGCCACGTGGCGCTGCTTGAAAAGCGCGGGCGCATTTGGGCACGCGGCGCCCCAGTGCGAATCCCTTGTTTTGTGACATTCGGACAACGTCAGAGTTAGGCTCTGTGAAATCCCTCCAACCTTCGCCTCTCTCATCGCAAGCGTCCAATGCGCCTGAACTAGGGAAGGTGGAATGTGGCTGAAATAGGGGAGGTCTCTGTACGGGGCGTAATCGGTGGTTTCGTTTGCTTTCCTTCTCTTTTACAGACCACCTCCCACCTATAGCTTCATAACTGAACGCTTTTCCACACCTATTTTATCCCGAATCTTGCCTTTAAGGAGAGGAACGGATTCTGGGGTATAATGTGTCTTTTGAACCGTCGCTGTTTTATACTGGCGAAAAGTTCTCAGGTTCTATTTGTAGCACTGTATTGTAGAGGAAGGAGTGGGCGTGACCCATAGGTGGGTGGAGTCCCTAATCGTAAGTTGAGGTAAATACGTTGAGCCTTTATAACAATATTTGATATTTCAAAGGGTTTTGTGTGTCCAAACTATTAAAAATCATTTGAAACGCCCATCACGATTCTGAAAGAAAATCGATCACGCTGGGCTCGCTATATGGAGCTGAGTCGTAAGATTTATATTTCGCTTTCTTTGAATATTTTTCTTTGTTCTCAATTTCCATCTGTCGTCCACAAACACCTACCGTATCCAGAAATTTTTTCTCACTGCCGTTTCGACCATTCTTAATCGATGTTTGGCGGGTGTACATGCTGTTGACGAGTCTCCAGCAACGCTCATGATCCCCTTCAAATAGAAATGTGAATGTTTATCTGATAGATGGCTGACAATTTGGTCGGATGACGCATGTGATAAGAACTGCTCCAAGCATTCGTCAAAAGCCACGTATTGAGCTTTTCGAGCCATGAAAGCATCACACAGAATCACGAAGCCCTTTGAATTCTCTAATAAAGGTGTTCATTTTTCTGGCCTTTCCCTCAGCACGCTCCGCGACATGAATATAGATTAGTCGCGCGGGAAATCAATACTCGTTAAATTACGTGCGTTACTGCAAGCGGAAGTATGAACACGTAATTCAATGAGAAACTCATTGCGGCGGACATTTCTTGTCACATTCTGCACGAAATCAAAGCAACATTGGCGTCTATTAAAGCCCACTCACCTCAACCACTTTGCAGCCCATCGTTCGAACCAAAAAGTCCCGAGATCGCTCTAAAATATTGGAACAATGAGTTGAAGGAGTTGCAACCGTAGGAAATATGCACATTGATTTTGATCTGGAGGTCGGGTAAATGAACATGAATGTTGGTTAGGCCCATCTTTATCAGAGGTGCACTGTGCAGGGTGCGGTGGCCGGGGGCAGTGGGTGCTCGGCGAAGGAATGGGTTGCGCGTGAGAGGGTGGGGCGTGGGGATTTCCTGTTAATAGAACGCAGTATAGCATAGATATACGAAGTTATATATAAGGATAAAAGGATAAAGCATTTGCCGTTGATCAATCCCTTTTTGGGATGCGGCACGCATTCTACTTCCATTTGTACATTCGTAGTGGCGTTTGAATGCGATGTGGCCTATACAATGACTTGCGGGGCCAGCCGATGTACAAGTCAGTGTTTTTATCCTCCCAGACAAGTCTGGTACCAATTAACCGACCCCGGAGGGATGGAAGGCTTGGTTGGCCCGGGCGACTCACGACCCAGGATTTGATCCCCGACCCGCTCGCGTGGTGAAGCGCGCCACTTGCCACTACACCACTTCCGCCCTGAAATGTATGCGTAATACTAATTAATATTCACAAGAATGCTGGGTTGTGAACAAAACTTTCGCCCCAGGCGGGACTAGAACCCGCACCTCTCGCTTTCCGGGCAAGTGCGCTACCAGTTACGCTACCGGGGCACCATTTCATCCCAACTCAGCTTTTCATGGTATACGTACCATAGCTTTCAGCACTCACACGTCTAACGTATACTAAATGGTAGCTCTAGATCCGTAGCGCCTTCAATGCCCTACACACAAATTTTGTGTCTCTAAGTGCTACTTCCCTTATCGAGGAATGGAGTATACAGCCTCAGAGGCTGCTCGCAGAGGGACCGCACCAGCCCAAATCATCGTACCTCACTTTACGAGATAGAGACTACCCGAAGTAAAAAGAATGGAACATATGGAAAGATGAAAATGAAATTTATGAAAAATTTGAAAAAATGAAAAAGTGAAATAAAAAATTGAACGAAAAACAAAAAAGAGAAATTGAATGTACCGCGAAAAGATTTGCTTTGGCTTCTATCAAATCTTATCATTTTTTATTGGTTGACTAAAACTTGTTAAAAATAGGTCGCTGGTTAATTCAATTGTTTTTTTACAAAAGCACTGAATTACCGAACATCCGTAAATGAGCATAAGAAGGTGGATCGAATTGTCCACAAGATAGTAGCGCTACACGACATCCGTTGAGGCTTGTGCTAGGGTCTGATACCATCGCCTGAAAACTTCAGTATTACGAATGACAATGAACAATATACAAGGGCAGGGTTACGTGACCACGAATAACATTTATACCAAAGGTCAAATGGCTGCCGCTTCAGCGATGACGCAGCTTGAACAGTGGAGTCATGGACGATTCATAGAGAATTCTCTGACGAGAGCAATGTGGACGTTAGGATAGAATGGGCTTCATACAAATCGATGTAAATAATGAGATTCGGTACTAAAAAGGGCAGATTGAAAATGAGAAAGAAAGAATGGAAAATTGAAAATTATCGCTTTAAAATCTTTGGAACCCTTGTCTCCCACACGTTAGTGTCTGGATCCAAAGCAGTTGAGGCCCAAAGCACTGGTCACTAGGTCTGAAGGGCGTTGCGGTTTTGATGACGTCATTAAATGCCATCGATGGAAAGGCGTAAGAGGCGGCCCCAACCGCAGCCGGTCATCGGGTCTAGTCCAGCAATGACCTTCAGTAAAGTCATCGAAAGCTCACTGCCCTTCGGCCATTGTGATCCCTGGCTTTGAGCACTCAATTAGTCTACGCTTTTTGAATTGCGCCACCATTTCTATTTTAAAACGCAGTTGTAAGATTCTCCTTCGGTAGATGAGCCGATTTTTACACGTGCTCTTACTAATGCTTTGCGCAAACTATGTCTGTACCTTTAGACAAATTATCAAAACTGAATGTCAATCAATTATCACAATAGTGGAGGTATTTTGGATTCCTGTAAAAATCCAAAAATGAATTTGCAAGGCAGAGTGTGTAAATAAAGCGAAAATTAGCCCCTATATAAGTTAGCTTCCAGCCGGAACCCTGAACTCTGATCAGTCTGATATCCGCTATACTGTCGTTCCTGTGAGCTGATTCCGCTGATCTGGAAGGTACGGTACTTTATCTGCCTATTAATTATGTGATGGCTTAGCTGGCCTCGAAGGTCTCGTAGGGTAGGGAGACATTTGATTAGATAAATCTCAAAATGGTTTCCACTTTTTAGGATCCGACGATGCGAAATCGCTGAAACGTTA